CACACACACACACACACACACACACACACACACACACACACACACACACACGCATACGTAAATCTCCCTTTCCCCTTCTCCGTCATGCTCTCCCTTTCTTCGTCCCTCGCACTATCCCGGACGACCAAGCCGACCGAGCTGGCGACACCCTGTCTGGCAAGACCGGCCGGCGGACAAAAGAGGGGGCGCCTGCTACGTTGCCACGTCCTCTGTCTTCGTGCTGCGCCTACCTTCGGCCCCAAGGACAAATCCGACGAGCCGTGCCAGCCGTCGTGGCGCACTAGGCGACTGTCGGTCTGCTGTTGCCTCGATGTTTTCCTTACGATGCATGCCGCCGATATTATTCTCAGCTATTACTTTCATTTACCTGCTAGAATGCGAAGGAGAGATGTGGCATGAGAGAGATGTAGAAAAAAATGCAGCAAGTAGAATATAGAAAAGTTGAAACTTCATTTAATTTAATTACACATAATCAAGTAGAAAAATTTTATAAATCGTTTAATAGAACGCCTAACATTTCTGTGTAGTGCAGTTGATATTACTGCCAATTGCTTGCTATTGCAGAAAATTGACAGGAAGATTTCTGTTTCACAAACGTAGGTTGTGGAATACTTGAGCGATGAGTCGTGCCTATATAACTACACGAAGGCCGATCTGTGCGAGAAGGCAGGTGCCTTCTTGCTGCACGGCGGACGTGTTCAAAAGCAGGCCTCATCGTGATGAGCGGGCACAAGAATAGCCGCCGTGATTCTTGGAAATAGAGTAGGGTGCCTCTTCAGAGAACTGCGAGAGGATTCGTCGGCATCCTTGGTTTCTGCCGGTGGCGCGAATCGTGGAAATTTACGAGGCCTCGTCCGCTTCTTTTTATCGGTCTATCTTGCTCACGCGCTCGTTCATCGAAGTACATGCGAGCGTGTACGGCTTGCGTCATTGCCTCGCGGGTCTCTCCGCGCGTTCGTATGCGTTGCGGCCTACGTGTGGCTAAGAAGAGACATGGCAACGGCGCGTGAAGCTAAACATATTAACTGTCGGCTCACGCCACAAAAACAACATGATCTCATTCCACGGCGCATATGCAAGGGGCTATCATATACCTCAAAATTTCATTCAAAAGCAACTGCGACAGCATGAAAGAAGGAAAGAGATGAGAGAAAGAAAAAAAGGAAAAAAGGAGCAGGATTTCTTTTATATAATTATATTTAGAGAAATGTATTAATAATAGACAATAGGTGTCTAATAGTAAATTTGAAAGGTTACTGGTTTCAATTAGAGAAAATAATTCCATTTCTGCTTTAATGTAGAATTATAAGACAGAAACGATTTCTAATTCAATAAGGCTAACATTAGCTGTAAGCCATAAGCGCTTTTCCTGGAAGGCAAAATCCCCTCACCCACTAGCCGCTTTACCTGACGGTAAAAGTTCCTATATGCTACCGTCGAGTTGGATATGCGTACGATATACATACCACAATATTCATATCTTCACATACGATTTGCGACCTGATCTAAATTATACAACTAGATTTTCGAGGAATAGAAGCGTCTTAAGAGTGACTGAATCATTTCGATTCTTTGCAATGCTGCTTCCGCTTTTAAAATCTACAAATGCTCTGTACATCATAATAAATTATAGAAAAGCCAGGAATGTTACGTTCCATGTGCGTGTTTCGACCTCGTGTTTCGAGAAGTCGAACGGAGGCAGGATCAACTTGAAGAGAAAGGCGAAGAAAAATCGGGGCTCCATGCTGGCTGCTACGGCGAACTGCTAAGCGGCACGCAAGCAAGCAGTCAGACATTCACAGCAGACAACATGGCGCCGAGAGCGTCGTCGTCGTCACGCCGGCGTGACGTTTCCCGCGCGCGTCATTAACGGAAGTGAACCCACAAAATGGCGGAGTTTTACGGCGCTGAGGTGTGAAAGGGAAGAGAGAAAGGAGAGAACAGGGAGGGTATCTATGCCTGCGGGCAGTTAGGTAGGCGATCGAGGCAGTATGACGAGGACCCTGTAGAAAGAGAGGAGGTTAGGTCGGTGGCATAGAGAAAGAAGAATGACTGGTAGCCGCCTTCGGCGGTAGACTAGTGTTCGTCGTACTGTACGAATGGAGCAACGATGTGTTGAGGGGGCGACCATTAGATAGAAAGAGCTAAAATGACGAAGGCGATACGTCGAACGCAGATAGTGCTAAACGAAGTGACGAGCGAGGTGGGGATACATAGAAGAGAGGCCGGGAATGCGAGGAGAGAGGTTTGAGGGAACGAGAGAGCAAGAGACGGCAATAGAGCGGAGGGGAAAGACCAGTGAGAAGCAGCGGCAGACTCGCCGGTGGGGATGAAAATTAGTTACGGCATCCAAGACCTAAAAGGAACTCCGGCGCCGCACGGTCAGATCGCATCGTGCAATGTTAAGCGTTAAGGTAGCCTCGTGCGTCGTTGACAGTGCCGGTTTCGAACTTTGTGATAGCTGTAACCTGCGTCGTCATTATACTCGGACTCGTGAGCGACGTAACGGTCATTGCGCTACGGGTGCGAAAAAGTTATGTGTGTATAATATTTTAAGTAAAAACTTTATTCTGTGAGTGAGAGATGCTTAGTGAAGATAATTCAGTGAAAATGATTCATTCGAAGCACCAACAATCAGTGCATCAACAACACCAGCAGCAAAATATGCGAAAATCTGTGGGCGTTATGGGTACGAGGCGTATCTTCACAACTGCTTTTAAAATCAAAGTTCTGGATTCCTATAGGCACGATAAAGATTGCCGCCAAAATCAACGTGCTACCGCGAGAAAATACGGTATTCATCGTCGTCAAATACAGAAGTGGCTACAATGTGAAGAACAACTCAGAAATAGCGTTGAAAATGGAAATACTGGGGCCGTTTCATCTGCGACTGTTTCCCCAACGAGCATTTCTAAATCGGATAGTACTGTGACGGAAGCCACAAGGAGTACCGTGACTCCAGCAACGCCGGCCTTGAACCTCAACCTCGCCAGACAGCACGGCGACGAGCTGACTACACAGCAAGGGCCCCCACCTTCTCATCCTCCGCATGGCAGTGCACCCTCCTCGCCCCAATATAGCCTTCAGACCACTACCACTGGCACGGCTTTGCCCCTATGCTTGACATCTGTGGTCTATCAAGAATATTCATCGGAACAACGTCTTCGTTTGATTGAAGAAGATAGAGTTCATATACCAGAGGTTCATAGATACTCAGACGCGCAAGTAGATCAGGAATGTAATTATTATGTATTGAACGGAGACGGACAGCGAGATGCAGAAGCAGCCCCAGTATTCGCTGGTAGAAACGAGGTGAAGGTATATCAAACTTTGACGAGCTACCATTCACCACATCAAGAGCATCGATATGGCACGAATGATATCAACAACAGCACGCATAATCATTCGCCGAATCATCATCACCCGCAGCAGCGAGAACAAAGTTATGGGAACGTCGATTCATTCGACGGGAGATCATATAGCCTGCTACTAGCGCCGTCGATGATAAAGACAGAGCCAGCGAGTCCAGACACAGCGGCGACGTCAGGTCCGTACGAATCGGCGGGATCTCCCAGTGGCCCACGGGCCCCACTCTCACCGATACCACATCGAAGCGCCGATAACGGTGGCTCGTCGTCGTCGTCCGTTCACTTTGTGGACCCCTCACGAACCCCTACGAGCCCGTACCTGCATGTGCACACGCATGAACACGCACACACGTGTCCACCGCTGAATTCCGACAAGTCGATCCCGTCGCTTCTGCAGCAGGAGAGGAGAGAGTCGGATGAGACGACGCAGCATATCGAGGAAAAGAGAGAGGAGGAGATACAAGAGAAGACGGAATACTGTACGACATTGATCAAAGAAGAGGTGCATTTGGAAGAAGAGCCGTATGACGATGGGGAGAAGCATCTTCGTGTATTGACTATCAACGACCACCTGTTAGCAGGTCGTCACCAGATAGTTCAGGTCCCGTAAGCCCTATATACGATCGCAATGGTTACTCTTTGCCTTCGAGTCCTCGTGATTCCGCCAGCGCCGGAAGATCCAGAAGTAGCTGGTCTGATAGCGAGATGGATCCTCTCATTTCCTCCAACAGTTTGAATTCATCCGGCAATTTTACTCGCAGACGATCTTTTCCTTTGCGTTTTAAACTCGACGTTCTCGATGCTTTCCATCATGACAAAGAGGTAAAAGATAATCAACGAGCTACTGCAAGAAAATTTGGCATAAATCGTCGTCAAGTACAAAAATGGTTAGAACAAGAAACGGATCTCAGAGGTGAGATTGCCCTTCGAGGAGATTCGCGTCAACGATTGGGCCCTATCCAGGATGTCGCTTCCGGTGACTCACCGTTGGATCTGACGATAAGTTACGCTTCGAACTGTGTTTCATTGTTGCGTGACCGACTTGAGACCGAACATGAACAGTCGCCATCGCATGCCTATCGTTGCGATGTTGGTTCCGTTTCTTCTCAACATCCCTTGTACTATCAATATAACGCTGGAATAGAGCCATCTTCCGAAGTGGAATCCGTAGGGCCCTGCAATCTATCTTGCTCTGCGGATAGCCGTACTACAACATCGACGACATCTTCGTATTCGGAACTATCTTTAAAAGAATCTTGCTACACGGAGCCTTCAATTAAGACATATTGTTATTCGCCTAGGGCAAACTCCGTGGTTTCTAACTTTTCCGAAGGATGCGAGCAAAGATTTTCACCTTTGAAGAGACAACATTGTATATTTTCTTGTTGCTACGATATGATACCATCGCCGAAAAGATTTTGCGATAGATTTTTAGACGTAGACGATGTACCTCCTCAACTCACGCCTCTCTGTCTTGTAAAGCCGAAATTGACACGGGAAGTCTCCCCTTCACAAACGGAATTGATTACAAAACCAATCAGTAATGTATCGACTTCGAATAATCCTGATGCCATCACCTTCAAGCCTTATTTAGATAATCCTGTAAGTAAACCCACGAAGAAATGCGTTGTTCAGCGCGATTTATCTCCTATCAGTGGTCATAATATTAATAATAATAATAATAATAATAATAATAATAATTGTCAGATAATTTGTAATTTAAATGAAACTCAAAATCACGATTATGATTTTGAGCTTAATTTACAAGTGCCGGTTTCTTGGAGGCCTGATGTAGGTTTATATACAAGACTCCCGCAAAGAAGTGCATTTGTTAGCGTATCCTCACTTTATATGTAACTTCTTTCTAAATCTCTATCGTTAATGATGAAATTTGATAGTAGAACATTATAAATTTATGAAGCAATTATCTTTTAGTCAATATTTCTTTCGTTCTAGTTTATTTAAATGTATTTCTCTCTCGGCGTAGGGAAAAAAACACGGAAACGATCAGATTATATTATAGTTAATTGGCTCGAGGGTGTAAAAATTGGGCTTACAGGTTTCTCGGGTGAGAATGTGCCGGCGAAAGATCGATTGGTGCGTGATCTACTACACGTAGCAGACCACGTAAGCACTTATCGTTTCCACGGATCGTTGGTACCGCGTTATACATCGCGATAAAGTCTTAATCGGCCATTGGACGAACCGAGGCGTGGAAGGAGATTTTACATGGTCGCGTCCTCGGCTGGCGTCTTCTAACTTCACCAGATCTGCTTGATTCTCTTCCCCTCCACCATTCCATCCGTTCGCTCCTCTCGAAAAATCGTATAGATATCCTGGTAGATCTTTTTTCATCATTTATCATCGAGATTAGAGATCGGTGGTTATCGGCTAGGCCGTTTAGAGGTCGAATGCGTTTGCTATAATTACAGAATTATGTCAGAGAGCGCAGTCGTCTACTACGTCGCATCAAAGAAAAGTTCGCGGAAAGAAAGCCGAAAAATTTCGTAAAATGCGATGAATTTATTCTTGCAGCATGAAACGTGATGAATAAAAATTGATATTGTAGTCTTATATAATATGCAAGATATTTTTGATTTGGCATAGTCCATGAGTACGAGTCTATTCGGTTTCTTATATCATCATTGTACATTGTGCTGCATGGATTACATCAGACGAAAACAATATTTTTGGAAACGATATTTCTTCCATTTTTTGTTTTCTACGGGAATCTATTCACCGACGGACGTTGACCGTACTATTTCTTGGTAACACGCCACCCATGACTTTCCGCGAACTGGGCGCGTGATCGCATTCATCGCTGGTTACGAATATGCATTCTATCTGCAGAAATCGTTTAATTGCTCAAACAATTTCTTCCATGTGCGCACATGTGTCACACGCGTACCACCATTATATAATGAGACTTTGTCATTTTCTCCCCGCCTTCTTATCGTTTAACAGTTGTCTATCTTTTGCTCTTTTGTTCTTTCTTTTCATTGTTCTCTCTTAGTTGATGGTCTATTTGTATATATATATATGTAAATATGTAAATATCAAAAGAAACGGGAAGAAATGTGACATTGTTGATTTTTCGCCGCACCGAGGACTATTGCAATGCATTCGGTGAATATATGTATTATAATGTTATTTTAAATGTTTAGAGTTTAATCGATTCTTCCTCGGGGAGAAATATTCTATTTTTATATGATCCCGTCTGAAAAAACAAAAAGTAAAAAAAAAAGTTATAAGAGAGAAGATGAAAATTTGAAATAAAATGAACCACTTCCGCAGAGGCCATTTCTCGTGCCTTTTTTATATCGGTACAAGATATGAATCATTTTTTACGAATGGACGCATATATTTATGGGTTTGTAATAGTGCATATATTAATATTTCTAGGAAATAAGACATAGATACGACAGAAAGAAAGAGTAAACAGATTTGCTTATTATGCACTTCGAAATTGATTTGGCAAATAATAATGATGTTTTACTTTTAATTAATTTGTTAACGATAGATACGAACGTGATTGTGTTTTTCGTACCAATGTAAAACGATGATAATTAATTTGATAAAATTAAACAAAATATGTAGAAAGGATTAAAAAGACACACGAGAATGGCTCTGAAAGAAAATTGTGCCTTATGTAATACATTCATATTAGAAATAATTATAATTATAATTGCACGAAGTATCGTGCGTCGAAACTCAGTCGTGAGATAAGACAAATCAAGTTATATTACATATAATATTATAAAATAATGCTTAAAATATATATTATAAATAAATATATATATATACATATATTTTTTAGGCATTAATAGTATATATTAACATATATTAATTAATATTTAGCATAAATTTAGTGCGGATTATCTATGTTATCTATGTTTAATATTATATATTTAATTAACTATATTCAAATTATAAAAGTTTCTTTTGCATTCGATACTGATAATTGACATCGAGTAATTTAAACAAAAAGAAAGCTTTGGCATCGGCATTGAGAGAAATGCTCTGCTATGAATTAATATGAATAACGAACACAAGAAATACTATCATCTGCAACATTGAAATATCTGTATTGATGATCAGTGATGATACTCCTGTTCAACTGTCTCTTTAAAGAAGAGGGACAAGCTATAAATTTTTAAATTAATATACTTATTTCATTCTTGAATCCTTTATTCCACAAAATTTCTGTTCAAAAAAATAAAAAATATAAAAAAATATATATAAAAAGTCAAATTTTCTTTATTTTTTTTTTTATATGTTACAATTAATTTATTATACAAGTAAATTTTTTAAATATAAACATCTGTCTTTCTATACTTAACTCCCAAAATTCTTGTAAAGGAACTTGTAAGATTTATAAACTCAAGATTTTTAATCTTGAACTTTATTCTTATTTTTCTTTATTCTCACGTAAAGACAGATGAACAGTCATAATTATCATAGATAAATATTTTTCATGAATGAAACCTCGTTCTCGGTGCACTGAGATCGAGGTACACTACGATCCTCGAGTAGATAAGCAATTACTTTACTGACTTTGCTGGCGAATTATCAGGGGGAAACTTTTCTGAATCATTGTTAGTTGATCGTAAGGAAACTCATATTAGATTGTAAGAGATATCTTCCTCAGGCCGGAAAAAAACATTGCGATATTGATCATTGTATAATGTAGATTTTCCTCAATTTCTTTGTATCGGACGATGAAATTCTAAGACTATCACATTTAAAATAGATTTTACGTGGTAAAAGCAAAAGAAATTGCAATTGTCGACTTATAGAGATCGTTAATATTTTAATTACCGAAGGAAATTGATGTTCGGTGAATTTTTAAACAATCAAATGGTTGCTAGGCGACTGGCAAGAAGGGCAATTCTGTAAATCACTGCTGCAGACAGGGCAGTTACGTTAATGTTTCAATATTCACGCTTAATCGAGCTCATTCGTGGTGCGGCATTATCCAACGCGATTGCCCGCGCGATCGCTTCGTACCGAGCTCTAATTTATCGTCTCATGTGTAATAAACTCACGCCATGATAATTATAATAATTATTGCCGTGGAGCAATATACGCGATCAAAAACATTTCTCTCCTTCCCACTTCTTTTTCAAGTGGGAAGGAGCATAATTTTTATTTAATCTTATCAGAATTTTCTCATATTTTAGAAAGTGCGGAATAAACTTAATTTTTAGCTTGTTAATTAATTATTGAGTTAAGAGAGGATATATCTTTTATTGTAGAACAATTCGCCAACCAAGTCCGAGGATCGAAAAATCGAACAAGGGAATTGTGCCTTGTCCACGATCGTTAAAAGTGGTCGAGGCGGCAGTGTACAATAAAATAATCTAGCGTAATTCTAAGCCATAATAAGTTACGTAATGCCATAATACATTTTTACATAATAGGGGCAAGGTATG